TATACACCCATTTGCAGCCAATGGGTCTATGACCTTCAGGTAATTCAACAAGTTCCCAAAATCCATTATGTTTCATAGACTGCATTTCATCTCTCATTGCATTCAACCACAATTCCGACTGAGGACAAGAAACAGCTTCTACATAAGTCACTGGATTAGCCACAGAACCGATATCGTAATCTTGCTCTTTTATATAGACTAAATAGTCTGGTGCTATAGATGATCGTCTCTCCCTAATGAATCTCCTTACTGGAGCAGCAACAGCCTCATCCAACACCTGAGAGCCTTGAGGAACTTCATTAGGAGCTGTCTCGACAACAGGATCATGAGCCTCAACAGGTTCAGTCTATGGTGTGGGAGTCTCCACAATTATCTGTATGGGAGGAGATAAAGATACAACATTACCCACCGTACTATTATTCTCAATAGTTTGTGAGCAGCTACTTTCTTCGGCCGCATCAAACTCTAGAAACTTCGCTGTCTGTGATTTCACAATTCTTGTGCCTCCATTGGGATTATAGAATCAATATCCCTTCAAATGATCCGGGTAAGATACAAAGTAACACCGAGTGGTTCTGGAGTCCAACTTACTTAATGTTGGATTATATAACTTCACTTCTGCAAGACATCCCTACACCTTAAGATGGTTTAAGCTAGGCTTACGTCTAGTCCATAATTCAAAAAGAGTCAATGGAACAGCTTTAGTAGGTACACGATTCAGAATGTACAAAGCTGTTTTCAAAGCTTCACCCTACAAAAAATCAGGCAAATTTATCCTACTAATCATACTCCTCACCATTTCCATAAGGGTGCGATTGCGACTTTCGGCTACACCATTTTCCTCAGGTCTCCCAGGCATAGTAAACTGAGCCACTATCCCAGAATCCTCTAAGTATTTGGCAAATGACCCTTTAAGCTGTCCGGCATCGCCATGCTTACCATAATACTCTCCACCTCGGTCAGATCTAACAACCTTTATGACCTTTCCCAACTGTTTCTCGACTTTAGTCCGAAAAATCTTGAATTTGTCAAGAGACTTAGACTTTTCTTTAATCAAGTACAGATAACCAAATCGAGAATAGTCATCAATAAATGTGATGAAATAAAAATTTCTACACAAGGTTACCGTATAACGTCCACTTATGTCAATGTGAATGACCTCCAACAGGTCAGAATTTCGGACTGCAGTTTTCTTCCTTATCTTGGTCATTTTACCTCTACAACAGTCTATGCATGTCTCTAAGTCATCTTTAAGAGCAGGCAGGATGTTAGTTTTTATCAGCCTTTTTACTCTATCCTTAGAGATATGACTAAGCCGTTTATGCCACAATGCATAAGACTATTCCTTAGGTAGTGGTCTCTTGGAAACAACCTTTTTAGCCGTATAAGCGACGTATATGTCATTAGGAGACAAACACAATCTGTACAATCCGTTGGACACATAACAACACCCAACCTTATTTGAATTAAGAAACAAAGAAATAACATTGTTCTTGATTTCAAAAGAGTAGCCATACATGTCTAAACACAATACGAAAACTAAGTTCCGTCTAAATGAAGATACATAAAAAGTGTCTTTTAACATTAACCTAAAACCAGAGTTTAGAATCAAGATAACATCTCCTACAAACACAACATCGACTTTCTCATTGTTTCCCACAGTGAGTTTTGACTCATCCTAATTTTGCTTCCTCCGGTTTATGAATCCCTGTATGGTAAACGCAACATGATTAGTTGCACTGCTATCGAGCCACCAAGAACTGGATGGTGCTTCTGATAGGTTGGATTCACAAATAAGTGCCAAAGAATCATTACCTGTAGGCTCACGTTTGGACAACCAAGCTTTAAACTTTCCACAGTCCTTCTTTATGTGACCTTTCTTCTTACAAAAGAAGCAGCGGTCACCATCCCTTTTGAAGGATATTTTCTTTGGACCCATATTGTCAGATTGACCGGTAGTATCATGGGTTCCTTTATGAGTACGATTTCTAGACTTCTTATCCTTTCTTTTGTGGGAACTAGAAACATGTAAGGCTAGATGTCCTTTTTCTTTCTTAAGTTTCTCTTCCTTTGCCACCACCCTTGCTATCAAGTCATTAACTGACCAAGTCTCATATTGGGAATTGTAATTTGTCTTTATAATCCCAAAATCAGGTGGAAGGGTGTTCAGGGCTTGATGCACAATACAAGCATTAGGAATGGAAATATTAAGAGCTTGAAGTTTCGTCTTTAGGTCTACCATCCTAAGGACATAATCTCTAACCCCAGCAGTACCATCATACTTCATATTGAAGAGCTTTTGAAGAAGTGTACCAACCTCAGCATTAGATGAAATGCGGTTTCTAGTCTCTAAGGCTGCCATCATTTCCTTAGCAGTACAGTCAGCTAGCAAATCACTTTTCAAGTGTTCTTGAATGGATTTCTTCATTGTCAATAAGCAAATTCGATTGCTCTTTTCCTAGGCAGCATAGTCCGTTTTCTCAGTTTCAGTACTGGTGGCCGTGATATCTGCCGGCTTATCCTTTCTAAGAGCAATGTGAACATCCGCCAGCTCCATTCCAAATAGAAAATCCTCTTTCCATTTCTTAAAGTTCAACCCAGTAAGGACCTCAATGGAAATGGAATTGCCGTTTATAAAAAATGTGACTGGAAAACAAATAAACAATACAATCATCATCATGTGAGTACTTATCTAGAGAGTTGCATACATCATCACATAATCACCTTTGGACAGAAAATATGACATGCAATTGTACACTCTCCACATGACAGCGGGTGAGAACATATTCTAATCTTTCGTGAAATCACCAACTTTGGGTGTATGAATCACTAAGATCAGTCATTTCTCAATCACATGCTATACATGTACCCCTCCATAAACCAATACAAGATCACCTCCTTTGGGAGTATGATCACGCAATAGAACAAGAGACATCCCACCATAATATGAGACCGATATTTCTCAATCCCAGTCAAGTGTGCCACTTTGGCGGTCACTACCCAACTGAATCCTTAAAAATCTCTCATACCAGGGATATGAGCTTTATGTATCACATTCACTATATACATGTAATGCTAGACGTAAAGACAGGGGCGTATGTCTCTGAAATTACATGTCATGCTAATTATACTGTTCCATTCATTGATAGATAATGAATTACACTCAACACAATCCTTATGTGGTGATATACATGTGAGCTACCATATGCATTTTCGAAACCATAGAGAAATACAAGAAAATACGCAAAAATACCCTAAAAATACGCGTATATAGGGTTCAATACGTATTTTCACATCTGTAAAAGCTTCAAACATGTAAAATAAATACACCACAATGTAGAGAATCTCGATACGAGCGCGTCAGTACCAAGAACGTCCAAAATGGACGTCAGACGCGCCCTCACGCGCCGCCGGAAGGAGCGGCACGTGTTCAACTAGTCAAACTGGTTTGAACAGCTGGTCTGACTGGTTGACCAGTCTAACCAGTCAACGGTCAACGGACTGGTCCGATCGGTTGATCGGTCGGGTCAACAATCGGGTCAGGTCGAAACTCGGGTCGGGTCAGGATCCGGGTCGGGTCAGGATTCAGGTCAACCCGGATCCGCGCCCTTGCTGATGTCAGCCTGCGATTACCGGCGGAAAGAGGCGCCGGTTCAGCATGGCCGCGCGTGGCTGTCACGCGCCGCCGCACCCACGGCGCGTGTCGGCGCGTGAGGTCTTGTGCGGCCTCCTCCGGTGACGTGCCGCCCGTCAATCTTCTCGTCTCGATGAATAGATTCCGAATATCTAATAAAATTTTACATTCATCCAACAAAAAATTTCGAAAATGGGTAAAAATCTCTCGGACATAACGAAAACGATCTTAATCCGCATGTTTCAGTTCTAATCTATGGCAGGCTATGATACCACATGTTGGCCACGAAAATGGCACGCCCAGGATCACCATAATCAGAAATCGAAATACGTTAATGGAGAAATTATCGATTTGTGTACCTGGTTTGGACTCCATCGAACTTGACGTGGAATTTGCGACGGTTTCCAAACACGAACTCAAGTGCTTCTCCCCTATACCCTTCATTAGAATACTGGCCTAATGAGATTGCCACTCACGAGAAGAAAGTTCTCTCTAGATTCGTATATGAGTCAAATTGTGCATCATCAGGTTAGGGGAGGAACTTGAGCGTTATTTATAGAGACTTCGACCACGGGCCCTCTCATTACCGGCCGAGCCGTACTCAGCCTACACCAGCTAGCCCCATATTAGACTTATTAAGAACTCATATATCTTATCTTTATTAGACCAAACTAATTCAGTTAATTTCAATTAATGAAGCCCACATTAGGAAATTCTTACATATTGTTCTAAACTAGTCCAAAAGGGACAATCATTCTAATATATGTTCAAAGAACAGGGGCTAGATGGAGCGGGATGCTTTGATTTGCGGTGTCCAGGCTTTGTGCAAGTTGATCATTCCATTACTCTAGGAGGAGCTCTCCCAAAATCTTCTTCTTCTGGCGGGAAACAATTCGAGATTTATCTCACAATTCGTCAGGTAATTAACTCTTTTTCTTCGGACCTCTTTAATAATGGTAAAAAAAAAAATTCTATGTAGTATGAAAGTTGCACCAGCGACGAACATGAGTTGAGGAAAAATGTGATCAGTTGCTCTTTCAAGGAGTTTGAAACATCTTTTTACATGAACATGTTATTTTATGAACATGTTTGTGAAAACAAGAAATAATTACTGAAAAAACGGGTTACCTACCCCTCTCTCGAACATGCTAGCGAACTTGGTTGGAAATCACATTGTGTGTGGATTGATTTTCCTTCGATAACCTATAAAAAGTTCTCTAACGGCTATTTAACAATTGACTTCACAACAGGATTTGACCACAAAGGATTGGTGGTTGATAGTTGAAAGGATAACGATGACACAAATGTGGGCTATTGGCCGGCTAAGTTACTCCCTCAGTTGATGTCCGGTGCTCAAACAATGCAGTACAGTGGAGCGACGCACACTTCCCAAGGCATGGCCTTCCCGGCAATGGGAAGCGGATACTTTCCGGACAACTCATACTCGCACGCGTGCTACATCAGACAGATTCAGTACCTGCTTCAATTCCTGAATGAGTCGCAAGGTTGGAACATGCCTGAGTATTGGCGAGCATCTGCTCACACGAGCTCGAAACATTGCTATGGCGTCGCCGTCGACGATGCCAATGATTTCATGCGCTATACCTTGTTGTTCGGGGGACCCGGTGGAGCGAATTGTGGAGTTTAGAAACAAACAGGTAGATGTAATAATAAGATCCAATTGTAATCTCAACTTCTAAGACACAAAATATCCATCTTCTTTTCTGATCATATGTGTCAAGGTTTCCTTTCATATGTTATATTTTTTAGGTCTCCTCGAGCTAAAGCCATTTGTGTAAGCCAAATTAGACGACGAAATCTAAACGATTAATTAACCACACAGTAAAATTCAAAGCAATTATTTTTTTTCATCAGTATAAGGCCAATTTGTGGATTTTCCTTCATATCTTCTTGCTCGAATTCTGATTTACTCAGATGGTGTCTATAAAATAACTTTTACTTTTGTTTTTCTACTTTAAAAAAAAATCTTATGGCTCGTACATTTCGAATTTTTAATGATTGGAAAAACCTAAGACCTTCACAACGCACAAATAGTAACATGTATGAATGCACACGATCTATAATCTGTAATTCATGGAAGAGGGTTGGGTTTTCGTCAAGCGCTCTCTTTTTAACCCCAGCCTTAATTGCTACACAAAATGTGGAGGATGATGGAAACTCCAAATGCTATGTGGTGCCAATTTCAAAGGATCAAGATCGTCTGTAACAGTCTGAATTTTCGATCATTTTCCCGGGATTTAAGAAATGAATATTTTGGCCAATGCACTTATAGTGAGATCTCACCCGGGACCCGCGCATTCTCGGAATGCTAACCTTAGGGGTAAGGCCATTACGGGATTGAGTTCGCACGACCAAAGAACTCGACCTGGGTTCGATCTTCGACCATATGGATTGACGAGGGAATGTTTTGAGCCAACCGAGACCGGTCTATTTGATTGATCGTGTCCGAAGGGCACTAGTGACAGACCCTCGCAATTATATGACAACCGAGGTCGTCCCGGGTAGAGTGAACTTAAACGTGATTTGACTTAGTGTCGGTCACGGGTCGAGAGCGCGTAATCCCAATGAGCCACCCGTTAGCCAGAGATAAGCTAAAGTCGCGATTGTTCGATCTTAGTCATTTCTTGGAATTCGGGCCCGGGAATCGAGAATTTTGAAAGTGACAATTTTGAGCGGCCGATGACGTTTTTGGCTTGGCCAACCTTGGGGCTACCCATTTCTGCAAAAAAATGGATTTCGGTTCGGGGCCGGAAAAATTACAGTTTTGCCCCTGTGGACACCGATGTTGGATTTTGAGGTCGTTTGAGGTTATTTTTCGAGGCTAGTGTCATTTTGGGGTGGCCACGCGCATTTAGAGTTGTTTCGGTCAAAAATTGGAATTTTGGCTCGAAGTGAAAAATAATAATATTTTATTCCTGTGACTTTGCAATCGATTTTCGAGGGCTTAAGAAGCTATTTTCACGATTCCGACGCCATATTATGTTGGCCACACCCATATGGAACCCGTATGTGCAAAAATTGGAATTTCGCCCCGGGACCGGAAAAATGACCATTTTGCCCCCGGGCCCGCTTTCAGCCTGAATTTTGGGAAATTATTTGGGATTATTATTATTGATTTTTTCAGCTGCATTATTGGGCCTTGGATAATTTTGCCCCTCAATTATTGGATTGGGTTAAACTTAGACCGTCAGATCAAGGGTAAAATGGTTAAAGTGCGTAGGATCGCGACACGTGGCACTTGGGGCTGTCATATTTGACCAACTCTCTCTCTCTCTCTCTCTCTCTCTCTCTCTCTCTCTCTCTCTCTCTCTCCCCCAGCCCCATTCGGCCAGACCACCAACAGCAGCCCCTTCCCCACGTTTTCCTCCTCCTCCTTTCTTCCTTCATTCTCTTCCTTAGCCATTTCCTCCCATTGCTGCTGCTGCTGCTGCTGCTGTTCCGCCCGTTTCAGCCACCCATCCAGCCCGTTCGTCTCGCCTTTCTTAGGTAAGTGACCTTCCCAAATGTCGCCTAGGACCTCGGGTATTGTTAGGCTTGTTTAGGGCTCGGTTTATGGTGAGTTTAGTGGCTTGTTTGCTCGGTGGTGTGTGTTGGCTGATTTCCAGTTAGGTTGCTGCTGCGTCGCTGATTTTTGTTATTTTTACTGTGACTTGTGTGGCCCGAATTTGAGGAAGTGTTCTGCATGAAAGTTGTTTCCAACATCTTGAAGTATAACATATTTTAATTTGGGAATTTTTGGAAATCATTTGATTCCATTCGGAAGTCCATCTTTGGACCGAAATAAAACTGCCCGATTTACTGTTCACCCGACCTTCGGGTATGTTCGAATTTTTATAAATTTTTCCAGGCCTATTTTCAAAATACTTCCTTGACGGAAATTGTTAGGAGCATTTGTAGCTATAACATATAAAAATTTCAAGATTTTCCAAAATGATTTGGGTACCGAATGAGTTGTATTTTGATGGCCTGAGGGGCTGTCTGAGCGAACCGGATTTCATCTGACTTTGAGTGTTAAAACGAGGTGTTTACGGTTAGAACTGGGTTTCGAGTTCTTCACGGAAAATGTTCATTGAGATGTTTTGTACAACATATTCAAATTTCATAATTTTTAGAGTTGGTTTACTATTTATTTCAAATAGATTTCTGTCACTACGCAACTGCCCAGTTTGGACCTGGTTTAGGCGATTTTGTGACTGTTTTAGGGGCTGTTCGGGACTGATTTGAGTGACTGATTATTTGGTGGTTGCGGACTGATTAGGCGAAGAATTTTGAGGTTTAGGGAGCTTGGATTAGGGCTGTGATGTTGAGGTTTGATTGGAATTAATTTGTGCGATTAATTATTGGAATTGTGCCTTGAATGGAAATTTGTGCGTGATTGTGCGATTTGTGGTAGTTGGCTGATTTGGGATTGTGTTTCGGGTTGTGTACGTGTGGTCGTATATGTCACGTGTGTGGCCGTGAGGTGTGATGGTGTGGCAGTGCGATTGCGCAATATGTTCGCGTGCCAAGAATGTGTGATTGTGCTTTGGGATCGCGTGTTATATGTGTATGATTGTGCGGTGTGCTTGCGTGGTGAAAATGTATATTTGCGAAGTGTATGTGACTTGTGAATTGTGCGTGCAATGTGGAATTGTGTTGGGTCATGTGGTTGCTGGTCGTGCGTAAGTGTGGTTTGAGTGGAACGAGGATATGGAAATGTGGTTTGATTGGAAAGGTCCGTCCTGAGGCGTGTACGTTACGCGGGACGATGCCGTCCCTGACGAGGTGACGATGCCCGGCCTGACGAGGTGTCGATGCCTGACGTGGTCAGAAGACCGTTGGCCTGATGCGTTTTACGCGGGCGCGGTAGAAGGAAAGTGTGTGTAGGATTCCGTCCTGAGGCGTGTACGTTTACGCGGGACGATGCCGTCCCTGACGAGGTGACGATGCCCGGCCCGACGGGGTGACGATGCCTGACGAGATCAGAAGACCGTTGGCCTGATGCGTTTTACGCGGGCGCGGTAGTGGTGGAAAAGTTGAGAATGAGCGGGAATTGGCTTGAGATGCGAGGTTTGAGAAAGTGACGCGTGGTGTGAGTTGGTGTGCGAGCGTGTTTGTATCGCGTGGTGTGATGCTCGATTATGGGGTAAAAACTGCTAGGCATGGTATGGGACGTGCCCAAGTGGGTTTTGCTCTATAATCGGGGCACGCGCGCGGCTGTGATGTATTTTTGTGGCATACTGGCTGTGTGGTTGACTAACGTGCAGGGACGTGCATGAGGAATTCCAGGTAGGTTCATGTGTGATTGTTAGATTGATTGATCGTTGTGTGAGATGCGTGATCTGTCTGGCGGTACGTGAGTGCCTACGTGGGGTTTGAGGTTGTACACTTATTGAGATTCGTCTCATAGTTGTATAATCCACAATTTTAGACCCCCAAGCCGTAAACCCGGGAAGTTCGCCTCTTCTTTTTGAAAGTTCGACCGCTTTTGGTGCCCGGTGGAATTGCAAGCGATGCCTAAGAGGTCTTCCGAATGATCGAACCAAGCGAAGTGGGAATATGAAGGAAGGAGGCGACCATTAGGTTTTTCCCTAGGCCATTTTAGGGGTTGTTTGACTTGGGTTATCCGATAGTGAAGTTAAGATAACCAAACCCCTGAACTTTTGTTAAAACGGTGGTGGAGGATGCTCATCTGTATTTATGTTTGTATATTCGGTGCTGTATGATTATGTTGTTTGATTGTTATGGTGGTCTACCCCGTCGTCGTCATCTTTCTGTCCGGGGTTTTGTTATTCGCTTCCGCATGTGGCACTGATGTTTGGGTTGGGTCGGTGACGTTCCTGGGACGTCGCATCATTTCGACCGGAGCAGGGGATGTCGCGAGCTCGATGGGGTTCGGGGCGTGACATCGTCACATTCAGAATCTAGTCGAGCCAAACAATCAAAGAGTTTTTCCTCTGGCGCATGGGAAGAGAATATTTTTTTTCTTTACCTTAATAACTTCATAATATTGTTCAAGTTTGTTTTTTTACCTCAGCATTTCTAAAAAAGTTAAACATTGAATAGAAAGAGATGTTCCTTGACCTTTAGCTTAAACCTTTAAAAAGGATTGAATAACCAAACAAAAGAAAAGAAAAAAGTTAAAATCAAAAGGAAAAGTAGAGTTAGCCTTAGGAAATAATACAAATCAAAAAGATAAGTCCGGCTTTTTTTATTAGTGATAAATATCACAAAAAACCCCAAACTGGTACACGCAAGACAAATTTACCATAAACTATTTTTTTTACCACGATAAATCCCAAACTGGTACACTTGTCAAAAAATTACTTCAAACTAATTTTTTTTTACCACCAAAACCCCAAACCAGTACGCCTGTGACAAGTTTACTCTCCGTTAACTTCTGTCAAATTTTACCGTTAAACTTGCTGATGTGGATGACACATGGTGACGTGGTATGGTGATGTGCCAAGTCCACATGAAAATTCATAGGATTAATATTATGAAAAACTCCAAACTAATATAGTCAAATTGTCACAAGTGTACCAATTTGAGGTTTTTCGTGGTAGGATTTCCAAGTGGACTTGCCACGTCACCATACCATGTCACCATGTGTCATCTATATCAACAACTTTAACGGTAAAATTTGAC